CTTTAGTAAGTAACCCTGTCAGTGTTTCTTGAGGGGTAGATATGACTAGCGTTTTGAGGGTGTGTGGTAATGTGAATCTGTGACAAAATCAGTGTGTATATCTGTGTCTGACAGTGTGTAATGTGTCACAATAGGTGCATGTAGGTCCGCACACAAAGATAATCCCAAATAATCCACAGAAAAATTATATATATATATATATATATATATATATATATATATATATATATATATATATGAAAAGAGTGCACATTTATTGATAAAAAAAAGTATGCATATAAAAAAAAAGTCATGGTACCATGCTGTCACTGCAGCCCTCATAGATGCTAAAGGTAGTACTGGCATATCACACCAAAACATTGTAGTACACTGAGATTACACAAATTTCCCAGCAAGAGAGAAAAAAACTCACAAATGTTGATAAATATCAATTTGCCGTACTACCTGCAACTGCCAGACAGGGGAGAGACCACCCGGAAGACTACCCCGAAAGTGTGTATTAGTGTTGTCTTGGAAAGTGTGGTGAGGGGGCGCTCATTTAGTAATTTCGTGATAGAGCCCTAAGAGGTCTTATGGCAACCTTGGCGACCAATCCTCCTCAAAAGAAAACTTCAAACACCATAACAACTACAGCACACTTTAGTGGTTATGTTGGTGGGACTGCCCTGCTGCCATCCCAGAATAATCTGTCAAACCATTTTGATCTGCTTTGACACTTCTCTAGGTCCCACAGTGGTGCTCATGCTGTTCAATCAGGAGTCAGAGAAACTAGCCAACACCAACAAGCAAATCTTCCAGAACAAAGTGAGCTAAGTAGCAAGGGGAGTGTGAAAATAAGAGAGCGCAGCCAGCCTAGGGAGTCGACAAAATTAATTCTTGGAGAGAGGCAAAACACCAGTCTCAGTAACATTCATAATACATGTTTCAGAAGAAAAGGGAAAATTAACTTTGAGAAGCATTGTCTCCAGTTACAGTAAATGTTTCTCCTGACTGGAGCCTCTGCTCAAATTCATGACATAGGCAGAGTATTGTTCTGTCCCAACAATAAAAAAATTTAAAAAAAAGGCTTTCTACTATTAAAAAAAAAATAGCATTTTCAATAAAAAAAAAAAAAAAGTCAATTTGTAAGATGCCTGGAAGAACCCATCTAGTACTGACCGGTGGCATAAGCTATAGAGCTGTACTGTAGCTAGCATTCTCAAAAGGAAATCCTTCGCTTGGCTTCCAGAGCTGTAACAAAGAAGTAGCACACCGTCTGTAATGTTGTGTTAACATTTCAAAGAGATTCCAGAGAGTCAAATACATGTTAATAGAGAAAATGAAGACTCCATACTGGAGAATCAAATGCACAGGACCCAGATTGGACAAAAGTGTTTCCACTCGAAAAATAAAAAGAGATACATAAGTTCAAATGGCCCTAATAATTTTTGGACAAAGTAAAAGCCTTATATTTTGTTCTTCTCTTGTCCAATTCCTATAAAAGTGTTTACATCTGAAAGGTGTATGTGCAATAAATGAAATGGGACCACTCTCTTACTCAGCTCTCTATTCTCCCCTCTTTTATTATTATTATTACCCCAGAGTATTTGTTTTACTATACACGTGCAGGATAGTTTTCCTTTCACATGAAATACGAACTGTTATCAATAGACATTTCTAAAATGTATAAATATACAAGTGACAAAAATCTGATATTTTTTAAAATAATAGTTGGGGACTAAAAAGGTTTCCAGGCACACATTCAGCAATGCATCTGTTTTCCTTAGCTCAGTTAGTATTGCCACTTAGCATGCCCTACACTATTGGATTATCCATCATATTTGCGTTCCTTCCTGAGAGATGACTGCTGGGAGAGATTCATTGCCAGCCCATCTGTGCGGTCACTTTCAATTGTCAGTGGAGATCTTATTTTTCCCGGAGAACACTCTTTGATATGATTCTCTGTATAGTGATATAGAGGAAATAAACATACTAGTACCAAAAATTTAAATTTATTTTATCTGGGAACAGTTTGACAAGGAAGAAAACAATTCGAATTCTGTTTTTTTGTTGTTGTTTTTTAAAGATTGGCATTGTATAGGCTATACTATTTAATGTTACATATTTAAAAACAATATATAAAGGAAGAAAGTCTCTGCTTATTACTTAAATTTTCCTTTTTCAAATTCAGAGACATAACATGAAAAAAGAACAGTGTGAAAACTATAGAAGATTGGTATACACTCAGCTCAACAAAATTGTATATAAATTATTAAAAGGGCTGAATAAAGTTCATATGTCTTAAAATAACTCGATTTTTATACGCATTTGATATCTTTTGGCCTAAATAATTAGTTGCCCTGTCATTTGTTCGTTTTTTTTCTAATGTATAACTTTTAGCATTTAATAGTTCAGGTACATGTGTATAGCTAGAACAAACCTTTTTGTAAGAAGAAAGCACATAACTGAACTACTAAGTTGTAGAAGCCCCTGTCTTGTGCTGAACTAAAGTTGTGTACAGAGAGCCATGATTCATGCTAATCACCCCCCACCCCCACCCCCCGACTACCTGTGCAGTGCTGGTTTAACCCCTCCCGACCGCGAACGTACCAGGTATGTCCGTCAAAAAAAGTTAATGACTTTGGACATACCTGGTACATCTGCTGCAAATAGGAGCCCTGGACTTACCTGGCCCAGCGATCCGCGCCAATCCTGGTTGGGGGGGTACTGTCCGAGAACCCAGCAGTCTCCCTGCAGCAACTCCGGTCACCCAGGGCCATATAACCACATGATCACATGACCGCAATAGTAGTCTATGGAGCTGCCAGCAGGGGGACTGTCTGAGCTGTCATTCAGTCCCCCAGGCAGCTAAAAGTGTAAAAAAATAAAAACATATATGTATACTTATACATTTATATGTATAATACTTATACATTTATATATACTTATATATGTATAATATATTATAAAATACTTTAATTCTTTTATAATATATTATACATGTATAGGAAATAAAAGTGTCTCTCTCTCTCTCTCTCTCTATATATATATATATATATAAATCCAAGTAAATGGAAAGCACTCCAGGGTCTTTGAAGTATAGTTAAAATATAACTTTTAATTCATATCAAAAAACTATAAAATAAGCATCAACGTTTCGGTTTACATCTGGAGCCTTCTTCAGGATAACAAATACAACATTTGCAATCATAACAGTGCAATTTATATACAAAATAAATGCTCACCATCATCATATGAGTCAGGAGCGGTACCCGCCAAAATCCATGAGAAGACTGCCGATCTGCCGAAAATCTGGCCAGTTCCCATGCTGTTAGCGTTCCACCATTGCTAGGCAGCGGCTGGAACACAGCATACTACCAATCGGCTGCTTGCGAAAAAAAGATTGCCAGAGCAATCATCCTCAACCAGCCATACATGCTGTTGCTGGGAAAGGCTCACTGCCACCAATGTCTCATATATGAATATAGTGAAACGTAAAATAGACCGACGCAGGTCTACAGACTGTTAGGATAAAAGCACACTGATTGAAGAGCTTGGTAAAAAATGTATGCAAGTGGCAGACTGAATAGACATCCATTGTATAACTATGCAATGTGAAGTAATCCTTATCTATGAAGAATAAACGATACATGCAGACATTATTTCTAAATGCAGTATGTTATACTGCTGGTAAAAAAAAAAAAAAAATGAGGATGGATGCCCATGCCCTACAAGAAAAAGAGAGGGGAAGGAACAGAAGTTACTGGTAGAATATTTAAAGGGAGAGTAAGTGACAAATTTCACGTTAAGTGGATTAGAAAAAAAAGCCCTAAGAAAGAAAAGGGGGTTAGAGAAAATTACTGAATAGAAGAAAAAGCACGTGTGAAACCTGCTAGAAATCAATCCTAATAGAACAATATCCCAACTTAGCATATATCAAGCAAGCACATATGCATTATTATGTGGGTGGATTAGAAAACAAAATATATTTCAAATAATGATCATTGAAGGAACAACGGGAATAGTATTCTCTTATTGTTAGGCGACATTATATACTCCAAGTCATAATATTTAAAGAAACATAGCAAATGATACTCTCTCAATGAGGCCTTTGGGCCAAACTGTATCGAGAGTTCTAATCCAAAATGTCTCTTTGTAAGAGTAGCTTGCTGCGGTCTCCCCCTCTCCCTGCGCGTGCGGTGATAGGGGTACGTGGTCAATCACCGTAAATTTCAATGATGACAGAGGATGACCCAATGTCAGGAAATGCTTGGCCACTGGTAGTTCCGCTTTATTGTCCCTGTATGCAGTTCTAATGCTGGAGCGATGGTTTCTCATTCTCTCTCTTAGTGGTAAGTCCGTTTTCCCTACATATGAAAGACCGCACGGGCATTGTAGTTTGTAGATAACATGGTCAGATGTATATGTTATTCTATGACGTATTTTAAACACTTTGCCACTATGAGGGTGTGGTTTTGCTTGGGATCATGTGGCTGCAGGTGACACAGCCCAAGCACCTGAAGCATCCTGGATTTGCTGTCACTTGTTTGGTAGCATAACAATGTACCGGGTCCGTTACTAGAAGGTCCCTTAGGTTCCTCCCCCGTCTGTAAGACATCATTGGGGGGGCTACGAAATTAATTTGGCAGAGAGGAGTCATTGGACAAGATCTGCCAGTTGGATGTCACAGAGGCTTTTATTTTTGATGAAGCAGTGGTGTAGGTGATGGGAAACTCTATTCTATCTTTATTCTTATCTTTTGGTTCTGTAGTGCTGTAGCACCTGTTCCATGCTTGTTGCAATATCTGGTCCTTGTAGCCTCCATCTTTTCATTTTCTCCACATCTCTCCTATTTGTAGTTAAGCTATTTTTGGGTCTGAGTTATTCCTGAGAACTCGTAGGAATTGTGAATAAGGGAGGGACGCCTTGAGATGTTCAGGGTGGAAACTTTCCGCGTGCAATAGTGTATTTCTGTCTCTAGGTTTGGTATACCGGCTGTATGTCAGTTTTTGACCCTGTTTTCATATACAGACATCAAGGAAGTTCACACATTCCATATCTGTAGTGATGGTAAGTTGAATGGGTGTGTTAAATGTATTGATTTCATCAATGATGTTGTTAATAGAATTCTCATCCCCTTTCCATATGATCAGCATATCAGCGATGAAATGCCGGTACAGGGCAATATTATCTGCATGTGGTGTTAAGGGGTGTTGTCTCTCAAAGCAGTACATATATCTATTGGCATAGTTAGGAGCCATCACTGCCCCCATAGATGGGCCTGAGATTTGTTGAAACCAGCTCTGTTCAAACCTGAAGTGATTGAGAGTAAGTACTGCCTGAAGTAGTTCCAATGTGAATTCCATCGGAAGTCTTATGTAGGATGACTCATTCAGGACACACCGCATTGCTTCAATGCCTTCTTCATGGGGTATGGCAGTATAGAGGCTTTTCACATCACATGTCACTAAGGTGATGGTATCTATAGGTAGGGTTGTCTGATCTAGAAGATTCAATAGGTCTGGTGTATCTTTTAGAGTAGTGGGTAATGCTTCAAGGGTGGTTTTTAAAAGAAAGTCTAACCATTTCGCAATAGGTTCTATGATGCCCCTGTTACGTTATGTAGTGGTTATTGTGCTGCGGTCTTGGTTCCCTCTCCCAACAGCTGAGCATGAGTGATTATAGCTGCAGCAGGGAGTAGAGGAATAGAATAGATGAAATGCAGTTCCAAGGTGATTCTTCCCAGCAAGTAGAATATCCCCCAAACATGAGCCTAGACTTCATGAAGGGTGTAACAGGAATAATCTTTATTGAAAACACACGGGCTTTTATGAGAAATCCTCCTGCAAGAGGACCTCCCACAGCAAACAAAAGCAACAGCCAATCATCACACAGATTTACAGTATTGCACGCCTCCTCTCTGACTGGGAGATATTGAGATAAGTTAAGGAATAAACCAATTATCTCCAGGCAGATAGCACACAATTTCCCCAAAACTTAGAACACCCCTTTCCCCACAAGGTATCCCCACAAATTACATATCCCCTGATAGCCTCGATCTGGGGGACAAACATATCCAAATTTCACCCAGATCGGTTCAGGGGTTCTGAAAAAGTATGGAGGGTCCCTTTTACCGACCACACACGCAGCTCCTGCCCAAAACAGTTCCATGAATTCAGCGTGTGCGGTTGGTCAATTCACAAAACTGTAAAAACGAACAAAAGTCCCGAATGGATTCCCCTGGCTCCTAGTAGCAATTGCTCCCCTTGTCCATTCGCACAGAACTTCCGAATGAGGCTTTACTGGCTGTTCGGGAAGTATGAGAAGCCGGCGTTCGGTAGTTTCCAGCGGTAGTTCGTGAGGTTGAGTGTCCTATTTTAGTTCCAGACACTCGACGACCAAGTCCTGCTGGCTCTCCTCGTGCGCACAAGATGGCCGCCGTTTTCTTTTCCACGTGGCGTTCGGTTATACAAACAGCGGCCGCCCGGGGAGAAGTTAATAGCTAGTTTCTTTGAAGTAAATGAGCCAGGAGGGTGGTTGGCGTTCGGTAGTTTCAAACTACCGAACCAATCCATTCAATATACAAGTATTCACATATAAAAATACCGAATAAAAAGGGAGAAAATAACAGGTAAAAGTCTATTTTCTTCACAGCCCCTAATGGTAGATACAATTGGATGGCCTGGTGGGTGTTGCAGGTTCTTATGTACTTTGGGTAAAGTGTAAAGGACTGTAGTCCTAGGGTTTTCCTGAATCAAAAACTTAATCAGATCTGTAGCGATGTATCCTGCTTCATATCCTCGTTGAACGATGTTAGAGTTGCTCACTTCTGTCATCCGAGATACAAAATACAAATTTGTCATACAAGATACACATTTCAACATTTAGCTGATTATTTATCATCACTAGAACAGAACATTGGTCTTATTTTTACATTTTATTTTTTAATTATTACGAGACTTTTCATGTACAATGCATCATCAGTATCATAACACATCTCTGGGTTACATTATATAAGAGAAAATACATCAACATATAGAATACCAAAAGACATATAATTGAGCTTTAGAACATGTGAGTATCAACTCCTACTAAAACTCTATTTGATCATGGATTCTGGATTTGAAAAGGAGTTCTTCAGAACCAGAATGTCAGTGACATTAGCATGCATATTCTGCTGTCAATATAACCTCATATACTATAAACAGAAAAAAGGAGTGAAAGGGAAAAAGATTAGAAGGGGTAGAAGGGAGGTGAGGTGGTATTTGCCACTTTACATGGTCCATCACATATCCTATGAATCAGTCTCAACCTCTGCCTGCTCCATAATAAGTCCAGGGATCCCAGGCTATGTGGAAACATTTAAGGAAAGTTTGTTTTTCTTTACTTTCACTATTACCTCTTGTATAGAGGATATCTCCACTCTGTGCCACACAGCCGTCTGCGTTCTCCTAGCTGCTAGGGCTATTATATTAAATCATTTTTGTGCATGTCTTGTTTGACATTCACTGGGGTGAAACAATAGGAATGACCAGGGATTGAAGTCAAATGGTTTCCTTAGAACGTCAGCAGTTTATTAACCTCTTTCCACAATGTATGCATTCCTACAATAAATGGAAAAAAAGTACCATTGTGTCCGCAGAAATGCCAGACTAAGTCTTTGGGGTGTTTCCCTGTTCTGAACAGGAGAACCGGGGTGACATGCCATCTTAACAATTTTCTTCAATTTTTATTGTGGAACTTGTCACTAGATTAAAGTTTCAAAGGGTGAGTATTCACACAGTCAAAGATCATGTGATTATTCTTGATGTTCTGTAAGTAAGAAACATGGAATTAAAAAGTGTGATAATGTGAAGAGGAGAGAGACCAAGTTGTGGACTATTTAATAAGGTGAGAAGAGATATAAAATGAGCAGAAACGTGAGTAAATGTTGCATGCTTACTACGAATTGTAAAATTTACTCAGGAAAAAGACATTAATCTGCCAAAACATTGTTTTTCAAACATATGGACAGTTATGAATATGGTGCAGAAATCTGGAGATTATCGTAATTATTTTTTGAATTCTCTATGATTGTGCTCCACAACGGTTTTTCAAATTTAAGCTGGAAACCAAGCACTAGAAAGGTTTAAATATTGGCTACAGAAACATTTTATCACACATAATTTGACACCAGTCCCATAATAAAATGTTTTGTCTGAGCTTTCTACAATTTGTGGAGACATTCTGGATCCTGTACTATACGGCGATTACATTTGGTCTTGGAATGTTTAGTCAGACACCATGTTAAACTGTGAAACCACTTCAAGTTATTTTAATAGAATATTTGTCCTAGAAAACAATTTTCTTGATTGCAATAACATCTGCAAAACATGTGGTAGAACCACATGCCTTGTCTAGCAATGAATGATACATGGTGTCTCACAATGGCAGTCATCTTGAGAAACTTATCTTCCTTTTACGTAAAAGTGGCTTTATTTGAAAACATTATTCAGTTATTCCTCTTTTCCTTAATCCCTTGCCAGATGAAGAGAAATTATCCCATGATCTGATTGTCTAAAACACATAATGAGAATGTATGGATTAGAAACAATGTAAACATTTGCTCGTATCTTTACAAGGATAAGCCAAAGGATCTAAATAATTCAGCCCCATTATACCCCAATAGATAAAAAAAAAACTTCATAACCCCTGTATAAATTCCGTTAATATTTATGTCTAGGAGGTCCCAAAATTGCAGATGTGGTGGTTCCACTTTTTGGACATGTCAAACTGTTAAAATGTTGGCAGTTCAGTAATGGTATAAGTATTGGTTTCATATAAATTGTTTGTATCAGTGCCCTGCATGGTTAGAAAATTGCTAAGGAATATGAGGCCATTTTACTCTACACTTTGATTCAGGCATTGTCCTCTCGATATTACCATTTTTTTCAGGATGATCCTACCCCCCCATTAGTCCTGTTAACAAAGGTGTTGCTGAAATCCCTGATGTTGGACTCTTTAACCCTACATTTATAGTTATTTGATGGAACATGAAGATGTTAGTGTTTTTTTATTTTTGTATTTTTACATCAAACAGCTGCTTCTCAAAGCTGTCAATTGTTTAATATTTTAATATGACAGTGCTCTCCAAGGCTACTAAAGCATAGGGTTGGTTCCCCCCTCCCAGATGACTATAAGACGGGGTGCTTGGGACAGAGAACTTTGCTGCACATTTCTCTAGAAGTAAGGTAGCGAGGTAGGATGTAATTGAATATCTGGCTCTGCAGCGTGTGCTTGTTTCTGGATTTGTTTCCACTGATATTCTGGAAAGCATAAGCTGATGAGTAGAGAGCAGGGGTCATAACATAGAAAGGTGGCATGTGGTATTGGTATTTCTGAAACCTGCTGCTAAACACATGCACGAGATTTTATAAACACCAGACTAAAGTCAAACACCTTCCTTTGGTTCCCAAATGATAAGACATACATTCCTTCAAATCTTTTTAAAACTTCTTTACAGACAGAGAGCGTATCAAGAACTTAATTATCCTTTTATCTCTCAAAGAAACAAGAGGTTTTCTTTCTTAACAATGCTATATCGCTATGTAGAGACTAGGGTTAATATTACAGCATTTGGAAGAACTATTAATGCTATTCTAAATGTAAATCATGACCCTACTCCTCATTCCTTAACGTTAATACATAAGGCAATTTTTTGTGTTATTTTGTATTATTTCACCTGTACGTAGCACCTGATCTTTTACTAGGACAATTAGTTAAGTTTTATATATATATATTGGAGGATAGCTTGTGCTGGCAGGGAACAGGTGGTTATAAACAAACAGAATGTGCCTTTAAACGGTTTAAAACCTTTGTATCTGAGACAGTACTATAACAGAAGTGATAGAAAGAAAACATTTGATGGTCTACATTCCCCTGTTTGCACTATTTAATTTTAGTGTATGATAACTAAACATGTGAGATATTGTGTGTGAATCAGTTGTTGATTCTCTAAGTCTATACCAAACAACTCCTCTCCATATAGGTGAGTCAAGGAGATGAGTAAAGGTGTAGATAGGTGTGCAGTGGGTCTAAATATATCATAAAGCCATATAGCTCTCGAAAGGACAAGATGTCAAGCCACAAAAAGTACACTGTATTATTGAATGAGTTACCTTTTAAACTAGGTATGGAAATCAGCAAGCCTCATGCACCTTTACAGTATTTAGAGCAGGTATTCAGTGCACAAAATATATGTGAAGTATCTGCAAAATACAAAACAAAAGATTTTTAATTTTTCAAAGGCCTCTGCAAATGATTCAGGTAGGAATAAAAATATAGTGTAATGTGCAACAGCTTTTTAAAAAAAAAATGTTCAACCATGGGATCAGTGAGCAGTAAAAGGCATTACTAGATGGCTTCTTTA